CCGCCCGCCCGCCCGACAAGAATAATCAGTTGATAATCCACCACACAGGGAATCAATATATGTAATCCGCCACCAAGGCAACCAATGCTATTAATGTCCCGCCCGCCCGCCCGACCAAAGGAATCATATTGTAATCCGCAATAAAGGGTTACCCCTAGGGCCTACCCCTAGGGCTACCCTGGGGCTACCCCTGGGGCCCGCCCCTAGAGCTACCCTAGGGCTACCCCTTGGGAAGCCTAGGGCCTTGGGTAGGGCCTACCCCTTGGGAAGCCTAGGGCCTTGGGTAGGGCCTACCCTTGGGAAGCCTAGGGCCTTGGGTAGGGCCTACCCTTGGGAAGCCTAGGGCCTTGGGTAGGGCCTACCCTTGGGAAGCCTAGGGCCTTGGGTAGGGCCTACCCTTGGGAAGCCTAGGGCCTTGGGTAGGGCCTAGCCTTGGGAAGCCTAGGGCCTTGGGTAGGGCCTAGGGTAGCCAAGGCCCCCGGTGATCTATACCCGGCAGCACGGCGCCAAGCAGGGGTCGGATTGGGAGGAGGAGATGTGTGGGGGTGGGAGGGGTCGGCCACGACCGCGTTGGAGGCAGGGGGGGGGGAGCTCGAGAGTCATCGGGGGGAGCTGGAAGGGAGGAGGGTACTGAGGGTACTGACAATACGGGCGCTCCATGGTGTCCCTCGCCGCACGGCGCCAAAGAGCTTGATCGTTGTCGATAAGCTCGGGTGCCTCCTTTGAGACCTCTGGCAGGACCTCTCCCACTGCACAAGATCATCAGGCGAGGCGAAACCATGCAACTTGGCTACTGAGACAGCCTGTAAGCCCCGAAAGCGAAGGAGGCGAGAACTCCCCCTCGCACCAGATTCTCTGGAGACAGGTCCCATGTGACTGCCAGCCGAAAACTGTCTCTCCACAGACTCGCTGTCAGGGCTCCCCGCAGCATCAGCAGCAGCAGCGCCCCCAACAGCACCCGGCGGAGGACCCCAAACAGCTTTCATCGCGAGGGTCGGACCAGAGGCAGGGCCGACTCTGGCGTTTGCCACGAGCGTGCCCTGGGAACAACGCCCTCTTCATCTCAGACCGCTGGGTCTTGAGGCCAGGATGCTTGCACGCCTCACTGAGACCTCGCGCCGAGGTGTGCGCCGAGGCCCCACAAACTTTGCAGAACAAAAGTCAGGAGGGGAAAAAACATACAGACACAATTCATCTTCGATTCCCTAGAAAATATAGCAAAATATGGGAAGTGGGGGGGGAAGACAGAAACCCAGAAAATATTAGAAAATATGGGGAAAATTGTTATTTGTGTGTATTTATTTGTGTGTCCTGGGGCCCCTTCAAAAAGGTCCGTTAGGTCGTGGCCTTGGTCGGTGACAGAGGCCTGCACCAGCGAGTGGCCCCTGACTACCCAGGGGACACCAGAGGCAGAGATAAAGGAATCATCTACCTCCCCTGGTTCGGCTGACCCCTTCACAGCGGGCGGAGGCGGAGGAGGAGGGACACCAGAGGCAGAGATAAAGGAATCATCTACCCCCCCAACATCTTTTTGACATCTGCTCTGCCACTTGACAATGTCCGAGACTATCCTTTCACACCCAGAGACAGAGTCGAGGTGATCCTCAGGAACGTTCCAGAGGCGCGCTCCTTTCTTGGCCCACCTATCCGCGAGAGCGTTACCTTTCATCAGCCATTCCTCATGATCCGAAGTGGCGGCACCTAGGCTCCTGTGAGCCTCAACTTTACAAACCGTGGCCAGTTTGCCAATGCCGCTACACCAATCAACCCACATGTGACGACGAGGGTTGGAGGCCGAGAGGCCAATACTAGAATTTGTGGCACAACCTAACGTGCCTGAACAATCAGTGTGGACTAGCAGCGGGTGGTCTGATGACCATTCGCTGAATTGAGAGCATTCGGAAACCCCAGTCCTCCCCATCCCGAGCCGCCTGTCTTGGAGCCGCGTGGAGCGGCACGGCGCCGTACATGGCGCCGATCAGGTTACCAGCTGGGTCGATCTGAACTACCGACCACATCCTGCACGACTGAATCCCTGAAGGTGGGAGTGGAAGGCCGAGCCGTCCACGAAGACAGCACCTGAAAATCTCCACCCAGGGAAGACACCAACAAACCAGAGCTGATCCTCCTGAGGAACCTCCTTGCAATGGAAGCAGAGAGAGTGGGAGAGAAAGAGGCATCTGGCCATGAGCTCACCAGCTTCCTCTCCTCGTGCCACAGTGGACGCAGGCATCAGACTGAGCCTTGCCCTTGGAGTGCAACCTAGCTTGAGGCCAATGGGATCCACCGACCAGGCTCCGAATGGCAGCAGCACGGTGCTGCGACCAGCTGTCATCAAAGTACTTGTTGATGAGACGAGTGAGGGGAGGCCAAATGACAGGGGGGACCCAGGGCGCTTGGAGTCTCTCCATCGCCACGGTGTCCGCAGCCCGTAGCGCCAGAGGCCTGACAACATCAACACAGAATGCCGGAGAGAAGTCGGCAATTTTGAACCCCCCAAGCCTTGGGTGCCAGAGCACATCGGCAGCGGGCAAGGTGCAACCAATCCTAGCGAGAGACAGCACAGCGGCCTGAGACGGATCGCCCACTTGGAGACCAAGGCCTTTCTTTTTCCAGTAGACAGTGCGCTTCCTGCAGGCAAGCCTGCAGCGGACCAAGTCCTGGCAAGACAGACTGTACACTCAATGCCCAATGCTCGATCACGTCACAGACGACAACACGCCAGGGATCGTTGGTGGCCCCTCTGGGGGTGACCCGCAACCCGAGAGAAACCGATGTGCCTGGTGGAACACGGCCCTCCCCTCTGAGAGTGGCTCGCCTGAGAGCGGCAAGCTTCGTATCAGCTATACCCGTGACAGCCGCCCCCCCCCCCCACACCGCTGTCGCCGTAGGAGACCCCTTCATGATCGTGCTGACGCTTGCCCCCGCTTTCCTCAGGGCAAAAACTCGCGAAGATACAGAGGCAGCTTTTGCCAATCGTTTGTTTTGCGCCGTGACACTGCGGACAGCACCACTGTTGGCATCTGTGCCAAGAACCCTACCGTTGCTGAGCCTTTGCTCAGAGTTGAGGTCCCACCTCTGGTTGAGGTCATCATTTAAGTCCGTCGAGCTAGTCGTGTATCCAGTTCTGTCCCAGTTGACAATTAGCTGTCGGTGCTGCAACGCGGCCACTAGATCAGACATGGCTTGTGGAAACTGCTCAAGCACATGTTTGAAGACCTCCTATGGCCTGTAAAAGGAAATCAACAACTAACTTCTGGAACCTGACCGTTGGATATTTACGTTGGAGAGAGACAATCACAGTGTGAACCAAAAGCTTGGCCAGAGCTAGCCCGCAGCTGCACCCAGCCGCGACAGTGCCATTAGCTCTGACGGTGTCTGATATGGCAGTTTTCCAGCGAGCGCGCTTGGGCAGACGATAGCCTGTACAGAGGCATTTGAGAAGCTGTATCGGGAACCCCGTGGCCAGGCCTTCCGCAGCAGGTCCTCGTGAGAAATGTGCTCGTAATAGTTGCTTAATCCAAGCAGCCCACTGCTGGCGGCAAAGCCTTTGAGCCTCGCAAAAACCTCTGTACTATGTTATGGACATGGCCTGCCCTATTGCAGGTTAGGCCAGCTCCACCCCAGAAAGCCGAATTGTTAAGCGAGAGCTCCCAGTTTCTGGCCACAGGTTGCCGAAGACGGGACCAGATTCTTCCCCAGACCGAGGCCAGGACAATCGGCCGAACTCCCGAGACAGGGCCCAGTTTGCCCAAAAAGAGAACCAACAGGGTCCAGAGCTCCAAATCTTCTGGATCCTGCTCCCAGCTCATTAAGATATCCAGGAACCGTTGCTTGTAACTATCAGGGAGCCACAACACCTGACGCGGATGCAAGTGGTCCCATCGTAGCCCGCACGAGCCAGAGTAGGACGACACGACTTCATTGAGTTGCGTGATGGTGACCCTCGGAAGCGGCGCCCAGGTATCCAGCCCACCAGGAACCATAAGGCCTTGAGACGGAACCGAGGCCTCAGAAGGCCTGGAGGGACCACCCCAGGACCCCAGTCCCTAGGAAGACCTTCGCCATCACGCTTGGGAGCGTTCCACAAAGGCTCCTCCCACTGTTCGAGCAGCCGATCGACTGCTTGCTGACCTTCAACAGGGAGCGACGGCAAGACGTCCGTGCCTTCTGTGTAGATCTGAGTCTCTGGCAGAGGCTCTCGAACGAAACAGCAAGCAGCCCTCCCCCCTTGATCTTTGGCTGCAGCTTTAGCCCAGGCCTTCCGGGCCGATGTGCTTGCAGCTCTTTCTTCTCCCCTCAAACCCAAGAGGAACCCCAGAGCCCCGTCCCAACCATCAATTGAGAGCTGCACTAAATCCTTCCTTGAATATCTGCTCCACTGCACTAGGTTGGAGTCCTGAGGCCAGGCTGGTACAGCAACACGCATCACTGTGAGAGCCTGCCTACGCTGGGCAGCCAGCGCCTTGAAAGCTTTCGCTCGGGACCCCGAGCTGATGGCATGCAAGCGCATGCAGGCCGCGTAGAAAGAATTCCACCTTCCTTCGACCGAAGAGACCTGCCTGAGATCACTCTGCCAGCCGCAGTCCATTGCAACATGCTGCACTCGAAGACCGTCAGCTCGTCCTGTGTAGGCCGCGGGGCATCGAGTGGATATGTGGGCTGGAGGGGAGGAGGAGGATGAGGAGGAGGAGGAGGAGGAGGAGGATGAGGGGAAGGAGGAGGAGGAGGAGGAGGAGAAGGAGGAGGACGAGGAGGAGGAGGAGGAGGAGGAGTAGGGGGAGGAGGAGGAGGAGGAGGAGGAGGAGGAGGAGGAACAGGAGGAGGAGCAGGAGGAGCAGAAGGAGGAGGCGAACCAGCAGCAACACGAGGAGGAACAACATGGGGGAGGAGATTCAGGAGGAGAGGGCAGCACCTCAGGAGGCGAGAGGGAAGCCTCCGGAGGGGCGGGGCGGGGTCGCGCCCCCGTTGCCCGCGGCTCGCGCGCCAGAGGCGGAGGGATGGTTGGAGGACGCGGCTGGCCCAGACCACTTGGAGGCGGCGGCGCCTGCGGCCCCGTCGCTCGCTGGGCCTCCTCATTCCTCCGTCCTCCTCCTCCTCCTCCTCCTCCTCGCGCACATCCCTCACGACCGTGGTCGTGGTGTCTTCCCTCGCACAACGCGAATTACCAGACAGCAGGAGGAGGAGAAGGAGGAGGACGACGACGACGTTGACGATGGCGGAGGAGGAGGAGGAGGAGGAGGAGGAGGAGGAGGAGGAGGAGGAGGAGGAGGAGGAGGAGGGAGAGACGACGTTGACGATGACGACGGACGACGTTTCTTTCTCCACAGGTTGAGGGGGGGGGGTTCGGCAGGAGTGGGGGCTGCAGGAACCGTGGCCGCAGCCGCGGCGCGGCAGCATGCACAGAGGCCAGAAGAGGAGGGGTATCCACACGCACTGACGGCCACACGCATCTGCGCGCCGTGTCCGCGGCGGGTTTTCGGTATACACGGCTCGTGGTCGGCGGCGTCGCTGGGGCCAAAGGTTTCCAGGATCTCCCAGGTCTCCTGTTGTTCCCGACAGGTGCCGAGGAGGGAGGACAGCCCGCTGGATACCCCGTGCCTGCTGGGACGCATCCTGGGCCAACTGCACCATGCATCGTGCTCGTCGCATTCGAGAGCAGCGGCGGGAGCGGGAGGCAACGCGAGCAGTGGACGGGGCTTCAGCAGGAGCAGGGGCGGCAAGAAGCAGCAGTTGCGCCTCGCACGGCAGCAGGCAGGAGACGAGCGAATGCCGTTGGACAAGAGGGCGGAAGAAGAGGGGCCGGCACGCAGAGAAAGATTGGAGGAGGATGTGGAGGAGCAGAATAATCAGGACATGGTGACCTGGAAACGGGTGCCGAGGTGAGTGGGGGGGCCAAGGATCGAGGAGGAGGATCGAGGAGGAGGATCGAGGAGGAGCATCGAGGAGGAGAATTGAGAAGGAGGATCGAGGAGGATCGAGGAGGAGGACTGTGGAGGAGGATCCCGAGGTGAGCCCACGGGTGCCGGCTGCAAAAGCCCTTCCCCGCAGGCGTTTCTGAACGCGCTCGGCCTCTTTTACATGTTCTTGGCGCTCGCGATCGTCTGCGACGAATTCTTTATGCCGGCGGGGTTGGGGGAGTCGGAAGCTGGGCGAGGGTTGTTAAAACCGTGGCTGCTAAAACGGCCCTCCCGGAAGG